GTGATGATGGTTCCACCACTAGCAGTTAGAACCATCTTCCATGCTTTGCGACATTGCTTGATCTGGCCCACATATGAATTCAGAAGAACTATTTAAACTGACCTAGACGATAAACTCATTGCTTTTTCAAGCAGGACCTTATAGCAAAAAATATATATTGCAGAGTTTACACTGCTGGTGGAGAACAACGAAAGTGAAATCATGCACTAAGACATAACATTGAGCAATACAATTCAGTTTTCAGTATAACATAAATTCCATCACTAGGTCACATCATCTTTTTTTCTGAGTTAACTCAATTGAGCACATAAGTCTAAATAAATGATAGGGGTGAATTACATTGCATAAAAAGTAACACCATTGCTGAGTTTAAACCACATGGTTTAGTCGTTTAGACAGTATAGAGCTCCAATGTAAATGCTCTTTCACAGTAAACTCTGGTCCAATTGATCTTGGTGACCAAAAGAATTCATACATGAACCACACTTCTAATATCCAGAGGGCAATAAGATGCTACGAGACTCATCTAGAGATTCCTATCAGAAAATGAAGGTGCTCCAGAGAAGTTACATCATAAAGAGCTTTCGTATGCGGCCATTTTTATGTTGGACACCATTAAAAGCAAGCTCTTCTTGTTTTATTGTCTCCCAGTAGAAACACCAAGATCATGCTCGACACGTTGTTCTGGAATAGAAGAGGCCTGCAAAATTCCAAAATCAATGCCAGAATGTGAGGATTATCTCGAGTTTTAGCCTTTTAGGAGAAGTTTGTATAAGAGCAACATATTGTTGCTACCTTAAAAACTAGAATATACGTCACCAGATTATGATACTTGAGATGTTAGCAAATAGAGGCAGATGGTTCGATCTTGCACTAATTACCTTTATACAAACAAAGAGAAACATGTGGTAAAACTGTAACTGTGATGTGTAAATGATACGAGCATTGGATCTCGGAATACACAAAACAACCGATCAGTCCAGGAAATGTTCTGGAGCAACTACACTTAACTTTAAGCATCTCCTACAAATTACCAAGGCAAGGTGTAACTATTCACTTGACCAGAACACTTCTATGGAGTAAACAACTATTCATATGCAAACAACTATAAGCATAGCAAACAGCTGCCAGCATTTGGGAAAATCCTATGTTTTCATGTAACATCCTTACTCGTTGTACTTTGATATCAGTATTAGTGGGAGAGAAATTTAGGCCTTTTTTCAAGATTATATATACCTTATTTATTTCAAGTGTAGAAAGTCCAGTGATATCAGGATTCTTGAGCTGATCGAGCTGCCGCTTCCCTCTTCTCATCAAATACTCAATGTACACAAAGTTCCTGCGATCGACACTCCTGGCATTCTCACGGAACTCTGCGGAGACAACGGACTCGATCCTGCGGCGCTCCTCTGGGGACTTGAGCCGTGCTGTCCGAAGGAACCCTCTGTATAATGCCAAGGCCTGCCTCTGGATACCAGATAGCTTTGTACGGGACGCCATCTCATCCTTGTGACGCAGTCATCAAAGCTACACAAAAAAGTGGAACTATCAAATGAGTTGTCTCGTGGTGATCTGCATATTTTGCTCAGGTGACGGACTGATTCAGTTGTCCCGTGGAGTACAAAAAAAAAAACTAATCTACCGCCTAGCAAGCAAATCCGCAGCGAACGGGGCTGGTTTTGGATTAGATCGCGCGCAGGATAGAAATACAAGAGCAGAACTCTCGGAACAAATCTAAGCAAGCAAAGTCTGGACGGATCTCCAATCCGTGCCGGTGGGATAGACTGGGGGAGAAGAACCTGCTCACCGGCGCACGCAGGGTCGACGACGACGGAGGGGGCGGGCGGAGTGGGGGCGGACGGAGAGGCGGGAGCTAGGGACTTCGTCGCGGCTCGCCGCCGGCGCCGCCTGTCGGGATCGCGGAGGGAGGGCCGCGCGCGCGTAGTGCGGCGGAGGCAGGGCCGGGGTATCGCACGGGAGAGACGATCGAAGGGGCAAAAGCTGCTGGTGGTGTATCGGATCGATTCTGTCCAGGGGTAAAATGGGAATTGCAGGTCAGCAACCAGCTTTTCTTTTTTAGGAAAAGTGCCCGCGTGTTCGTCCATATCACCGGTAACTAAGGCCACACGTGGCTTCTGTTTGGAACAATCCCCAGGGTCGGCACGTTATTAAGAAAACTTACAGAAAAAACCAAGGAAAGAATGATAATTTGTACTCCTTCCTTCCATCTATATAGGGCCTAATGCATTTTTCGAGGCTAATTTTGACAAGTGTTAGTGCAATAATATATGACATGCAAGTTACACAAAGCATATCATCAAATTCGTACGTGAAAGAAACTTCCAATGATATAATTTTCACATCATACATCCCATATATTATTAATCTTATCAATAGTTAAAAGCGGCCCTGAAAAACGTATTAGACCCTATATAGATGGAAGAAGGGAGTAGGTTCTTCTGGGCCTGCACGGTTATTTTTCTTTTGCAAAAGGGATCGGCTCTTATATTATAAAAGTTCATGTACAAACCCTCTCAAACATAATAAAAGTTAATTCTAAAACCACCAAACGACTACTATTGCCGTCAGAAAGAGCCGCTGACGTGTTGTTGTCTTCATTCCTCTATCGAAGCCGACTTGACCTTGTCGATGATAACCGGGATGTCTTCCTGGACGTGTCCCTAAGACCATCGCCCTGGAGCCGTAGTCTTTGTCATGAATGCATAGATTTGAAGCACCTGACATCAAATCTCACCACGTGACGAGAAACACTAACCTCACTGCCCCAAGGAGACGATATGAATCTACACTGGAGCTCCGTCAACTACGGCCACACGGATGAACTCGAGGAGAATCGGAGCCCGGAAGGCAAACTCTAAGAAGAAGCTGCTACTTGTAAACTGTGTTGGTATTTTTCGCCAAGAGGAGGGGTGAAGCAGTACAATAAAGGCAAGTATTTCCCTTAGTTGTCGAACGAATAGGAGAATCAAGCAAACTCACACACACAAAAGCAAATACTTGCACCCAACACGGGCAAGAGGGTTGTCAATCCCCTTGAACTCGTAACTTGCAAGAATTAAATCTATATTTAAGAACATTCCAATCAACATAGTTAATGGCTTAGACTCGGTTATAACCCTAAGCTAGAACTTCCCTTCCTCAAATGATATGTTTTTCCATAGGCTAGATATTGCGTACCCGAGTTTGATGCTGATATTGTTCTGTATCGATTTCTGAGTTCAAGATCTTTGAGAACTTCAGTGTCCATGCCTGTCAATAATCAGTGTCTCCTTATTATACATGTTCATAAGCTAAAATAATGTGCATTTTCTTCGTGTTTCCAACATAATTGACACTTCAGTGTAAGTTCCATTGTGCATAACTTGTGGTGTATATTTTGCCCATTCGGTCACTTCATCAGTAGCATGTTTGGTCTCATGTCGTCACTGTGACCTTTCTTAAGGGTGTTCGTTCAGGCATTCTTTTTTGTAAATTAGTGGCATCAGCATATCTGCATATGTGGCACTAATTCCATTGTGCATGACCGTGTACTGTAATTTTGTCAGCGACCCATTTATGATAAATGTTTGGCTCCATTTATACTTCACTTGATCAGTATCCTGTTTATCTCACCTTGTCATCGTGGCCTTTCTTAACGGTGTTCAGGCATTTTTTTCTGCAAATTAGTGGTAATCATTTACTGTTATGGTGAAAGAAAACCTATTGGTCTTCTATTGATGTTGTGAATCCGTAAATAGCATCTCAACACAAGCTAACCATGCATTTTAACTAGTGTTGATATCTACTGCCTTCTCTTCAGGATAAGGTGACGCCTAATAAGGATCAGGAGAACAGCAAAGATGCTAAGAGGCAACCTTTTGGGGTTAAAGATATGAACAACAACAGGGCTTATGAGACCGAAGAGAGCTCCAGTGGCGTGTTTTGGTTCTTGAAGCCCTGCACTTTCCTGGTGGAGTAGCAGCAAAATAATTCAGAGGCTTTAAAGCTACTGCAATTCATGTAGTTAGGATCGATTCTTTGTTTCAGTTTGAAATACCCCCCAGTTCCTCCTATTTGATTGATTCATCTGATGGACATTCTGTCAGGCAAATAAATAGAAAGCATATGTATAGTTACCAGTCAAGTCATACAAGTCGAGATATTAATAATTCCATGAGGACTTCAAGATATAGAGAGATGTTACTGCTCTTCTGCTAATTGGCTGTTTGAGCAAATGTACTGCAGATGATATTATTGTTCAAGATATAGAGAGATGTTACTGTTCTTCTTCATCTTAGTGAATGATATTATCCAATCCCAGTTATCTTACTGAATGCCTTGTTCTGGACTGTTTTCTTGCACTGATACTTAAAAGTCACGGAACCAATACACTTTGAGGCAGATACACAGTTGTCGTAAACCATTGTTGCCAATGGCTCCCTACAAACTTAGTCGACAGATGTAA